GGGGGCGGGGCCTTGGGAGGGGCGGGGGCGCGAGGCGTGGCTGGCCGCGGACACTTCCCGAAGGGCGCGCTAGGAGGCTCCTGCCTTGCTCAAGGGCCTCCTGCACCTGCCTCTGAGATCTGATTTCTTCCGCTACGTGAGTGAAGTCTCGTCGGCTGGACGGTTACAGAGCCGCTTCCTCCACCTGGCGGTGGTGGGCACAGCTGGGTTCTGGAGGGCCTACGCTGTGGCTTCGGGCTGATCACTGCAGCACAATGCTGCCTAGAGCCCAGGAATTTTCAAGTGAGAACATGAATTTGCAGATCTTGGGTCCACCACCATGATAGCCCCATCTGGGCAGCTTGGAAACACAAGCCTGCGAGCTTTAGTTGCCGGGTCAGAGGACGAGGTTTTGAAAATTAAAAATAAATAAATAAATAAAATTTAAAAAGAGAAAAGAAAAAAAGGGGGGAAAAAGTCAGGGCTTGGAAAATACTAACAAGGAGACTGGATGTTTGAAACTCAAATGCCTATTTTTCAGGTCATTTGACACCAACAACAATGGATATTTTTAGATACGCTCTTCCTTGGAATAGAAGGCAGAAATCCAAGTGTGTCCTCTCATTGCACCGTGGAGCAAGCAAGCTTGCCACACAGTGGGAGTTCACCAGTCTTTTACCTCACAATGCACCCACTTGGGCAGGGGACATCCTGTCATAAACATAATTTATTGCACAGATAGGTCTGTCACTTGCCTAACTCTTCACTTGGTGATTCTGATCTATATGCACTTTTCTAAGGCATAAGATAGGCTAGAAACTACTTCAGATACTTATATTGGGCAACATCTTTTGAGCAGGTGGATTTTGCCCCACAGGATTCATGACTACGTTTTGGAGCAGAGAGTCAGCAAGCTGCTCCCTGCAGGCCAAACCTAGCCCACCACCAGTTTTCCTGAAGTTTAAGAGCTAAGTATGGTTTTTGCATTTTTAAATGTTTGGGGAATACTCAAAAAAACAGTATTTCATGACGTGCAGTTTATGAAATTCAAACTCAGTGCCATGAATAAGGCCATGTTTATTCTAGTAGAGTTCAGGGGTTGTGACAGAGACCACAATGTCTAGAATATTTACTACCTGACCCTTTACCAAAACAAAGTTTGACGTCTCCTGCCAGAGCAATATCAGAGCAAACCTCTCATTAAATATATTTCTGGTGATTTTTAATGTGAAAAAAAATGGTGCTTGCAAATGCAGAAGAGATTCACTTTTAACTATGCTGATTCTATGTGCAGTGGACTTGGAGATAATTACTTTTCTTAAAAGAGATAGAGAGAATTTTTAAATATTCATTTTTAGTTTTCGGCGGACACAACATCTTTATTTGTATGTGGTACCAAGGACTGAACCCAGCGCCTCGTGCTTGCCAGGCAAACACGATACCGCTTGAGCCACATCCCCAGCCCCAAGAGATAATTACTTTTTAATTTACCAATGCCATGACTGTGACAAGGAAAAAAGTCCCTTTCCAAATTAAAAAATCTAAATATGTTAAAGGTAATTTCTATTGTACATCAAAAAACATACTAAAGAAAATGAAAAGACAAGCTATAAACTGAATACATTTCCTTCAAGTAACATCCACAATAAATAGTATTCAGATTACATAAAGAACTTCTAAAATAAGTAATAAATAAAAACAATCAAATGGGCTTATGTTCATATATCTATAGCAAAAGCTCCAAACATGTCGACATATACAAAATATAAGCTTATTTTTCTCTTACATAAAAGAAGTCTAGAATTGGCATTCTGGGGTTGGCATGGTGGTTCTGTGGTCATCAGGAACTCCAGACTCTTCTTCTTTTTTTTTTTTTCTGCTCTAACATCCTTTTATGTATCTACAAGGTTATCATCTAATGGTTCAAAGTGGCTGCTGGAGTTTCAGCCATCATATCTAGATTTCAAGCAGCAAGAAAGAGGAAGAGGATGAAAAGGAAATAGAGGAGGTGGAGGAAGAGAGGAGGGTGAAGGGGAGGAGGAGAGTGCTACCACTCAGCTGAGCCAGCAAACTAGAGTACCATTCCAAAAGTCTCAATACTTCTACATACAATTTGTTGGCCAGAACATAGACCTACCTAAATGCAAGTGTTAGTAAAGATGAGTAGATGAGTACAACCATTTGCACAATAATCTGGCATTATCTGGTAAAGTTGAATATTCACATACTCTGCAACATGACAGCACAATTCTGATCTAAAAGTCTATCCTAGAGAAATTTTTGCCCAAGTATCCTAGGAGATAGGTGTAATAATATTGTCGGTACATTTGTACATCAACCTAAAGCTAGAAAATAACCTTAGTGTCCACCAATGCTAATATAATTTATGTAAGTTTAATATAGCAGTGAAAATTAAGGAACTTTATCTTCATTTGTGTGTGTGTGTGTGTGTGTGTGCTTTGTTGTTGTTTGGTTGATTTGTTTGTTTTTTTGTTTTTTGATACTGGGGATTGAACTCAGGAAATGCTTTACCACTAAGCCACATCCCCAGCCCCTTTGTATTTTGTATTTTGAGATATAAGGTCTCACTAAATTGGTTAAGGTCTTGCTTAGTTGCTGAGTCTGATCTGGAACCTGTTATGTTCACTTATTCATATGAATTCCACAAGTTTACTGTTGAATGGGGTGGGGCAGGTGTATTAGTTTGGGCTGTCAAAACAAAGTACCATAAACTGGGTAGCTTAAACAAAAATAGAGATTATTTCTCACAGTTCTGGAGGCTAGAGAGTCCAAAGTCAAGCAAGCTGCCACTTGGTTTGGTTCCCAGTGAAAGCTGTCTTTCTTACTTGCCTATAGCCCCTTCCATCTATGTTCTCACACCGGTATGGGACAGGAAGGAGAGGGCCAGAGAAAAGGAGAGAGGAGAGAGAGGAAGTTCTCTAATGGTTCTGTTTATAGGACATTAGTCCCACCAGAAGTACCCTGTCCCCATCTAAACCTAATTATTTCCTAAAGGTTTCATCTCCATATACCATCTCAGGAGTGGGGTGGGGTGTTGGGGTCTCAACATATGAATTCAGGTTGGGGGGTGGATATTATACACACCATAGCAGCAAGTCACTGGAAAAATGCACATAGTATGACCTTACTTATATATAGTTTGAAAAGATGCAAAATTTAGCATTTAGGGATATGAACACATATAGCAAAGTTATGAAGAAAAGGAAAAAAATTATTAATATAATGCTGGATAGTGGTTGCTCCTGGTAAAGAGGTGAGATGGGATTGTAGAGGGGCACCAAGCAGTCCTGACAGATAATTCACTGGGAGTTGTTTTAGGATACAGCTAGGAAACTGTAGAAGCCTGAATGAGATAGAAGTTTATTTTCCTCAAATATAATGTCTAGGTAGTTAATCCAGGGCTTGGTACAGCAGCTCCATGATGTCAGAGAAGTGGGTTTCTTTTATTCTATTAGTGTACCATGTTTAGGATGTTAATCTTGAACTTGTGGTCCAAATGGATGGTCCCAACTCGCGACCAATTGGGAGAGAGCAAAGAGAAGGGGGCTGCACTCCTTTTCCTTAGAAAGCCATGACCTAAATTTGTATACCTCACTTTTGCTCCCATCCCACAAGCCAGAAGGGTCACCTGCTAAAATTTCCACTACTGTTGAAAAGTGCTAGAATGGATATTAGCAAGCCATCAAGCTATCTCAACTACCGTTTTCAAACTGGGTAGTTCATTTAATCATTACTTATGCCATATATGGGTGTATAAATATGAATATTTCATGTCATATCTATGTACAGACACAGACATCTGGCATAAATATTTAAATTTATTTTGCAGTATAAAGTATTTCATAATTAAAATGTAGCAAAAATAATAAAAAGGAAAAAGACCCATTTTTTTCCCCTCATCATGCTCTAGGCTGATTTCCCTTCTTATTGCTATTTGTGGTAAATATTTGGAAATTTCACTTTAATTCAAGGCATGCTGAGGCGCATCTGCCCCTTTTACCTATCTACTGCATGTAATGCATTCCAATTACCAAAAACAAATAGATTCACAGTTTCCTGTTACTTCACCAGACTCCTTCCCGTTAACATGAATTATTACATGGTTTTGTGTACATCTATCATATACAGTATAGTGACAATTTTACCTTTTCGTTTTTTAAAAAAAAATTGTAGTTGTATATGGACAGAATACCTTTATTTTGTTTATTTTTATGTGGTGCTGAGAATTGAACCCAGTGCCTTACACGTGCAAGGCAAGTGTTCTGCCACTGAGCTACAGTCTCAGTTCAGTTTTTCCTGTTCTTGAACTAACCTGGTAGCTCACATGAGTTCCTATCTTGGGCACTATTCTGAGTGTCAAGAGTTACTTTCTTTGATTATCACAAAACCCTTACAAAATACTCACCATAATCATCTTTATATTATAGATGAGGAAACTGGAGTATAGGGAGGTTCAGTAATTTCCTAGGATTGCACAGCTAATATTGTGATAAAGCCAGGATTTGAGCCTACACAGTCTAATTCCAGAGTCCATACTCTTAACCACTGCAAAATACCACCCAGTAAGTTGAACAATTAAGTATAAATTGAACAAGACTGATCTGAAGACCCCAAATCCAAAATATTCTAAAATTTGAAACTTTTGGAATGTCGGCATCATGACACCATAAG